TTCCGCGCAGCCAATTCATGCAGGTCTGCAGCCCGCCAAAGGGCCGTCAGTGGTGCAGGTGGGCCGGGAGCATCGGGAGCGCTGCTCGCAGCTTCATGCTGGAATCGATCTTTGTTGACCTGCCTGCGCGGAGATTTAGCAGAGCAACCCACGTGCCATCTTGTCGGAGCTGTTTTAGGCTCAGTCGGCTCCGTCGTCGCAACTGTCGGCAGGAAGCCTTAGCTACCCTACCTTTGCCAAATTTCGATCCATATGCCCAGACCGGGTGTTGCGTGACAGCTGGCCTTGAGCTCCAGGGCCATGTTCCCGGGCATTTGTAAGAGCAGTTGTTTGCTGCGCTTTCAGTTTGGATGTAGCTGGCGTGGCTCACGTATGTGCTGGTCAAGGAACATCAGGACCCGTGGGCAGAAGAATCCCCGGCAGTGACACAAGAGAGGCACCCAAAGTCCCGTAGGCTGGGCAAAAGTGGGCAGCTCAGGCTAGCTCCTCTTACACGACTCTGCCTCTTTTGCTTTGCGACCCTCGTTGGGAGATCTGAGCGCCGCCCGGATGCAGCAGCACCCAAATACCGAAGGCAGTTGATGTTCCAGACACGGTGTGTGATGCTTGCTTACAGCCCATCCCTAATTCCGTGTCTTGATTTATTTTCATGCTTTCTCATACCCTAAACCCCAAACCCTAAATCAGAAACCCTGAACCCGATTATAAACCCTAAGTGCTCCAGTTTGAGGCTTGGGGATCGCGGAGCTCACTCCCTCGGACTTTCCGGACTCCTGTGAAGGCCTTAAGGGCTGAAGGGAAGACACTGGAGAGCAGCTGATTTGGATGCGATTGGATTCAGGGTTTAGAGTTTAGGGTATAGGGTTTAGGGTAGTGTTCTTTGGTGTAGTTACCCTTTAACGTGCAAGCTCCGCATTACGTTTGGGAGGTGTGGTTGCAAGTCAACTGTGTTGTGTGCTTTTCAGAAGCCATGCTCCACCTCGGCTCGTTCACCTGGCATGCCCACTTGTTAGTTCACCACTGGCACCTACGTCTCTGCGCAGGTCGTGTCACCCTCAGTGGCCAATACCAAGTCCCCGCGACGCACGTCGTGAACGCAAGTCGCAGCTGCGTTATCCACGCGGAGCATGGCACGAAGCTGATGCTGAGCGGCCCGCTGCACTTTCGGGGAGATGTTCGCCTTACAGGGAGCCTGCAGGTGCTCGGCATCAGGGTTAAGACACATGTCCGGTCACCCAGTCGTAGAGCCGCAACATCCCTGAGATTACCTAAGACCTCAAGCCGGACTGACTTCAGGTGGTAGCCCATGAGGACATGGCCGACGACAGCTGTTTCGTCGTGAAGGGCAGCCTGAGGCTTGAGATGGATTCCCTCCGGATGAGGGGTTGCAGATCCTACGGCCAGGGTGGCGCTTTACGAACTCTGGGAGATCTGACCGTGATAGGCGGAAAGTTGGAGTTCGACGACTGCCATGCTTTCCAAGGTGGAGCCATCTTTGTCAAAGGAAAGACACAAATCAGGGGAGGAGAAGCAGCTTTTAACAATTGCACGGCATCATCCATCATGATTGGCCAGCACATTCACCAGCAGCAATCTTGGCAATCTTGTGGGGGAGGGCTTGCCGTCGACGGATCTCTGCTATTGCAAGAAGCTCGGATGACCTTTGAGCGCTGCAGCGCTGAAGAATTCGGGGGAGCTCTCTACGCAGCCTGGATTATTGTCCAAACTCCCAAGGCCTTTTCAATTTGTTCGTCCAGGAGTGTGTCACTTTCAGGTGTCCAGTGACTCAATGAAGCATCCGGAGCTTCGTCTGCGTTTGTTCCGGTTTCAGCCCAGGTAATCGGAGGATTCGACCAGCAGGGTGGGTCCGTGAACCTCAACACCTGCACGAGTGGACGTGCTGCAGGGGGGGTGTACGTTGCTGTGACAGACAAGCAATCGCGCTGTTGTCGTGTTTTGGGGAGTGCCGGTTCATCCGGCACTTGTTTGTTTTCGAACTTGAAAGCATGGACTGTAGACTGTGTAGGCTTAGATAAGTTTCCTGCCAGGTTGATGGGAGCTTCTACGAGGAAAGTGGCGCCATGTACTTCCACAATTGCACGAGCAGTAAGCAAGGAGGCGGAATGTTCCTGCGCTGCAATCAGGCTGGCTCCAACTCATGCAATATCAACCAGTCACGCTTGGCTTTCCATTCCTGCTCCTCTGCCTTCGGGGGTGGCCTATCGTTGTCCGGTGCTCTCGACCTGATGCATTCCAACGCCAGCTTTGAGAACTGCCGTGCGGAAAGTGAAGGTGGAGGACTTGAGGTCACGAGTGGGTCTGCAGTGGCAGCTCAAGTTGCGAGGCTCGAATTCAAGCAGTGTGCTGCCGGCGCATATGGCGGTGGAATGCACGCCCGTGAGGCACAGATGAGCCTTGACAACTCGAACGTGACTTTTGTCGAGTGCACCGCTGGTCGACAAGGAGGTGGCTTCGAGATTCTTGACGGGCGGCTCACCCACAGCAGTGGCATGATGTCGTTTCACTTCTGTAAGGCTTATACAGGTGCGGCCTTCAGCTCTACTTGGGGTGCTGAACTGGCTGAAGTCAATGTCGAGATGTGCATCGGCTTAGGTTCAGGAGTCAGAAGTTCCATGGGCAATGTCTCCATACAACGTTTGACCTTTGTCTATGATGACCCTTCTGCTGGACATGAGCCGTCTGTGATGGCACCGAACGTTTCCATATCAGAAGTGGACTGCACAGCAACCCACCAATGCAGTGTGCACGCTTTCACCTGGCGCATCCCTTCCCTGCTTTGCCCACCTGGGCGCGAAAAGCATTCCGGTTCCTCTCCTGAGCCACACCATGGCTGCAGATTGTGTGAGCGCGGGCACCTTGGCCGCGTTAGCCTGTCTGGCAGAAGATTCTTTGAGTGCGCCGCGGTGCTGAGGTATTTTCAGCCGCTTCCATGGCGCAATCCGCATTGCCTCCCATGCCCCAGCGAGGCGCAGGCCTGTGACGCCGTGTCTGTGACAATGCAGGCCAGACCGACCGAGCAGCTGGAAAAACCTCAAAGCCGACTCTCGGCATTTCGTGTTTAATGTTTTGCAGAGCGTATACCTCCATGTTGATTCTGTCCGGATCTAAAGCTTTGAACGAACCCCCGGACTGCGTGCTCGGCTGATCTAAAGATCGCCGCTGAACGCCGGACACACGTGAAACGTGAATTTTCTTCCATCAAAGCTTTACAAAAAACACAATGGCGTCGCTTCGGCCCATTTTTCCTAAGCCCAACAGCCAGCAACATGGGAACAATTTCTAGGAGTCACCCTCCCACAGGCAAATGAATGAGACAACTGCGTAGTCCCCGCATCGCAGAGAAGAGAGAAGTCACATTGAACTGTTCGAGTGCACAGGGAGAGCAGCTTGCCTCAAATCTTGTGTTGTTGTGATCGTTGCTTTCATCTTTCAGGGATACTGCAAGCCCAGCACTTCGTCCCGGCAGGCTGGCTACATGCTCGATGTCCCGAACCTCTCGTCAATCAATGACTTCAGCGAACTGGAGTCGGTTAAGCGGACCTATTTCTGTCCGAATGCTGCTTCCTGCCCAGGACAGGATGCCTCAGGTACAGAGTTTGGATCTCAAGAAAGTTTGCGAGCGGATTTCATTTGGCCGATCCTTAGTGGACTTGTGAACTTGAGACAGGTAGGGCAGGCAGGGGTATCGATTCTGAGCATTGAGGCACCTACCAGGAGCTGTCCACGGTTCTTCCTTCAAACCGGCGAAGCGTAGCCCCTGCACATCCTGGCCTCGAGCGTGAATAGTCAAAGCAGCAAGCGGCACAGACCATTTCTACAGAGCAAACTGACGTAGGTTTTATCCATTCCACGCAGCTCGCAATTGTCTTAGCCAGGCGTATTCTATAATTATAAGGTGACTAAATCAGGGCACATCAATGCAGCATTTATGTGCAGTCTGCCAGCCGACTTCGGGCGTGCAAGCAAGCATGTCCTGAGCGGCGTTACGCTGCTTGCATGGGCGGTTGTTTTTATTTGCCGGTTTTATTGTCTTTCAAGCGTGAATATTTCATTGCCGTCATTGTATCGACAGTGTCCCTGAGCTGCAGGAGGACGGCTGGCATACCAGAATCAGACAGCGATGTGTTCGCCAGGGGCGACCGGGGAAGGATGTGAGTTCTCCACGCCCGGCTATTCGGCCGGGGATTATGACAACCCCTTTAGCAAGTTCAAATGTCCCACTGCGCGGTCGGTTTGGGTTATGGCTGCCAGCTACCTATTCGGCAAGGATCTGTTTGTGTTCGTGCTCGCGTCCTCTTCAGTGCTTGGTGCAAAAGCTGGGAGAAAGGAGAGTGCCGTCCTTGTGAACCAGTTGATGGCCTTTGGCATCATTGCTTCTCGCTGCCTGGCGGCCCTCATGCAAGCGGAAGTGTTTGCAAGGCAGTCCGTGTATTTCCGAGACGTATTGCATGCTTGGGGCATAGTGATTGACGCAGGAACTGGACAAGCCGCTTCAGGTACACCTGTACGGTGCTTCGCTAAGGCCATGTACGAAGATCACAGTCTCACGGAATTCTTTTCGTTTTTCGCTTTAGCCAACGTTCCAGCCCTTCTGCTGGTGTGCGTCTTTGGTTGCGCGAAAGGATTTTGGCTCAGCATCATTGTGGGGAGTAACTGCTTCCTGCCAGCATTCTGCGGACGCCTGAGTACGCTCCTCATATCGTTTACGCCAACCGAAGCCGCCGATGGCCCTCGTTATTATTATGACATTGACAGGAGGCATC